AGTTGGTCCCAGGGATGCTGACATGGCAGAAGCACTGAGAGGAAAGCACTCTGCCAGGGAAACCAGGGGCACCAGCAGTTCCAACACTTTTGCACCCACTGTGGAACCATTGATTGTGGATGACTCAGACATTTACAAAGCAATAATGTCCTTCCCATCTGGCTCTGCTGGGGTTTACACTGGAATAAGGCCACAGCATTTAAAGGAAATGGTTAATCCAGTTATTGGGGAGACTGCAGAGACACTGCTTTCAGAGATCACAAGGTTCGTCAACAGTTCCTTGGCTGGTCTGATTCCTGACGAAATTAAACCTTTCTTTTTTTGGACCAATACTTTGTGCACTTAAAAAGAAGGATGGAGGAAATAGGCCTATTGCAGTAGGCAACACTTCACCGCCTTGTTTTCAAAGCTGCTGTCCGAAACATTCACGCAGAGGCAGCCATGATGCTTCAACCAAACCAGGTTGGTTTTAGGGTCTCTCAAGGAAGTGAAGCAGAGGTTCACGCAACAAGGGCGTATATCAAAAACCTGCCTGAGGACAATGCAGTGGTAAAATTAGACTTCAAGAATGCATTTAATCTCCTGAAAAGAGAAGTGGTATTAGTAGCGGTACAAGAACATTTCCCTGGTCTCTTCCTCTTTTGTTTCAGTTGGATATAGCAAGGAATCAATGCACCAGTTTGGAGATCATGAAATCACATGATCAGAGGGTGTCCAGCAAGGGGATCCTCTTGCACCATTTCTCTTCTGTATAGCAGTTAGGGAAATCACAGACTGACCAGTGAGCTAAACATCTGGTTCCTAGATGATGGCACACTAGCAGGTACAAAGGAGTCCATTCTACATGATCTTGCATAGGTGATGACACGGGGACAGGAAATGGGTCTCTTCCTGAATCCATCCAAATGTGAAATCATCTCAGTCAGTCAACAAGTGATAAATGCAGTGAGATCCAAACTACCAGGAGCATCAGTCATTGCCCTTACAAATATAGTCTTGCTTGGTGCTCCTCTGGGAAGCAATGCCATTGACACAATTCTCAGGAAGAAATTGGAAGAGTTAAGGAGAATGGAACAACGAATAGGCAATCTGGACACCCACGATGCCTTGTAACTTCTCACAAAGTGCTTGAGTCTGCCCAGGTTGACATATTTCCTAAGATGTGCACCTTCATATGATAACCCTATACTGCACGAATATGACAGTATTCTGAGGCAGATTTTTACGAAAGTACTTAACCTTACTCTAGAAGACGGGCAGTGGAACCAAGCTACACTTCCAGTCAGACTAGGAGGCATTGGTGTCCGCAAGTCATCACAGATTGTGTTACCTGCTTTCCTGTCCTCATGTATTGCATCCAGAGAGCTTGTAGCAGCGATTCTCCCTGAACATCTTAGGGACAAGACTGGAGTCCAGGACCAAAAGTTCTTTGACAGAGCCATGATCTGGGATAAACTAATGGGATTTGAAACCAGACCTGCTCCTCCCAACAACTACTAACAGTCGCACTGGGATGGCCCAATATAGCCTCAACAATGCTTCAGAGTGTGTTAGGGAAGAATAGAGCCCACCTCCTGGCAGTGAGAGCTCATCATGCTGGGGACTTTCTGTTGGCTGTTCCCAACTCCAGCCTTGGCACACGCCTCGACCCACAGACCATCCGCTTTGGTGTTGTCCTTCAACTTGCCGCCCCTAATCTCGCCGAACACAGGTGTATTTGTGGCAGTGAAGCAGCAGACCGATTCGGGTACCATGGTCTTGTGTGCCGTAAATCCGAGGGAAAGACTGCAAGACATGATGAGGTTAATAACATTATCAAGAGGAGCCTCACAACAGCAGGATGCCCAGCAGTAAGGGAGCCACCCCAACTATGCAGATCTGATGGCAGCCAGAAGCGTCCAGATGGTATCACACTTCAAGCCTGGACAGACGGTAAGCAGGTGGTGTGGGACTACACATGTGCATCTACCTTGGCTGATACGTATCTCTAATACACCAGGGAGGAAGGAGGGGCAGCTGCCAGCTTCAGGGAGTCCCAAAAGTCTAGAAAATATGGAGAACTTGCCCATCATTATATATTTGTTCCCATAGGCTCAGAGACCCTTGGCTCATGGGAAAAGAATGCATCTAAGTTCCTTAAGGAGCTAGGCAAAAGACTCATCAGGGTAACTAGAGATCCCAGGGCAGCTAGTTTTCTGTTCCAGCGACTCAGTGTGGCTGTTCAGAGTGGAAATGCCTTCTGAATTTTGGGCACGCTCCCCAGCTCTGTAGAGCTGGATGAGATTTTCGCATTATAATCAGTAATAATCACGTAACAATATGTACTAGACATGTATCTCTCACATCTCATGTACTGTATATGTCATCTTTATATCAACAATGTATCTCTTAAACCTTTTGTACCATATTATGTAATAAAATATACTTATTGGTAATAAATAGTGAAAAGATGGGGTGGTAAGGGAAGTGGAATATTATATATATATATATATATATAAATATATATATATATATATATATATATATATATATAATATATATATATATATATATATATATATATATATATATACATATATATATATATATATATATATATATATATATATATATATATATATATATATATATATATATATATATATATATGTATATATATGCAATAAGATCACAGTAAACAGGTGATTTCGGAATATGCAAAACAACCACTCTGAAAAAATAGAGAAATTCCAAGCGCTTTCGTGACTACTCACATTATCAAGGAACTATGAAAGTAAAGCATCCAAGGAAGCTATATAAGGGGTCGGCCAGCACCTCACTATCAGATCCCACAACGGTTAAACACCTGACGCGCGCCGACCCAACTTGGATAGGTCCTTTGCACAACTCACCCACAAACTATTCTACCCAAGAAAATTTAAAAATTATTTGTCCAGTGTATTATTAAATTCTTCCCAAATTCTATTAATTATAAATGAATCTAATTTATATAAACCAAAGGAAATATTCATATTACTGTCAAAACTGCTTTTTATGAAACAAGATTCAATTATATTCCTGTCGACCATGGACTTGCTTGATACACTTTCTCAACTTTTTGAAAATCAATTGGATGGTTAAAATCTCTTACATGAATTAAATAGAGCATTGGAATCTTGTCCAGTTCTAATGCTTATTTATGTTGTTTTAATCTTAGTCGAGATTTTTACCAGTTTGACCGTAATAAACTTTATCGCAAATTTTACAAGGAATCTTATAGACACATCCATCAGCATTTTAGGGGGAATTCTTTAAACAAAAGTTTTTTTACTGTATCAAGATTTTTGAATACAACTTTGATATTAAAAGTCTTAAGAAGAGAAGGCATATCAACCAAGTTTTCATGGTAAGGGAGAACCAACATATTTTTAGTTGAATAAGGCTGGTTGTCCCTTTTTGGATTGTAAAAAGTATTTCTAGCAACTTTAAAAGATTTATCAATTACATTTCTTGGGTATTTTAAATCATTACCTATTTCATAAATTTTGGATATTTCCTCATCTATGAACTCAGGACTACAAATTCGTAAAGCTCTCAAAAACATTGATGAGAAAACAGACAGTTTAACTTTCATAGTTCCTTGATAATGTGAGTAGTCACGAAAGCGCTTGGAATTTCTCTATTTTTTCAGAGTGGTTGTTTTGCATATATATATATATATATATATATAATATATATATATATATATATATATATAAAATAAGATTTAAGAGATACATTGTTGATATAAAGGTGGCATATACGGTACATGTTGTTACGTGTGTATCACCGATTATAAGGCGAAAATCTCATCCAGCTCCTTAGAGCTGGGGCGTGTGCCCAAAATGCAGCATGCATTACCCCTTTGAACAGCCGCACTGAGCCGCTGGAACAGAAAACTAGCTGCCCTGGGATCCCTAGTTACCCTGATGAGTCTTTTTCCCAGCTCCTTAAGGAAATTAGATGCACTCTTTCCCCATGAGCCAAGGGTCTCTGAGCCTATGGGAACAAACATATAATGATGGGCAAGTTCTCCATATTTTCTAGTCTTTTGGGACTCCCTAAAGCTGGCAGCTGCCCCTCCTTCCTCCCTGGTGTATTGGAGATAGGTATCAGCCAAGGTAGATGCACATGTATAGTCCCACACCACCTGCTTCCCATCTGTCCAGGCTTGAAGGGTGATACCATCTGGACGCTTCTGGCTGCCATCAGATCTGCATAGTTGGGGTGGCTCCCTTACTGCTGGGCATCCAGCTGTTGTGAGGCTCCTCTTGATAATGTTATTAACCTCCTCATGTCTTGCAATCTTTCCCTCGGATTTACGGCACACAAGACCATGGTACCCGAATCGGTCTGCTGCTTCACTGCCACAAATACACCTGTGTTCGGCGAGAATAGGGGCGGCAAGTCGAAGGGCAACACCGATGCGGATGGTCTGTGGGTCGAGGCGGTGTGCCAAGGCTGGAGTTGGGAACAGCCAACAGAAAGTCCCCAGCATGAGGGCTCTCACTGCCAGCAGGCGGGCTCTATCCTTCCCTGACACACTCTGAAGCATCGTTGAGGCTATATTTTCCACTACTGGACCATCCCAGTGCGATTGTTTGTAGTTGTTGGGGGAGCAGGTCTGGTTTCTGAGCCCGTTAGATTATCCCAGATCATTGCTCCGTCAATGAATTTTTGGTCCTGGGCTCCAATCTTGTCCCTAAGATGTTCAGGGAGAATCGCTGCTACAAGCTCTCTGGATGCAATACACGAGGACAGAAAAGCAGGTAACGCAATCTGTGATGACTTGCGGACAACCAATGCCTCCTAGTCTGACTGGAAGTGTAGCTTGGTTCCACTGCCCGTCTATATATATATATATATATATATATATATATATATATATATATATATATATATATATATATATATATATATATATATATATATATAATATATATATATTATAAATATATATATATATACAAAAAAACTTTGACTTACTTCCTCTCAGTAGCTTGCTGTTGCCCAATTTCTACTGAAGGAACGATATGCATCAGCTGACCAACTCTTTGGAACACCTGTGAGTCTGACTTACTGAAGAAAATCTTGAACTCAGCCCCGTATGTTGGCATTGTTATCCTGGGAGGTGAGAGTGAAGGATACACCACTCGGGATAGAATTATTATGATTATTTAATTGTATTTTCAGTTATTATTGTTATTAGTGTTATTGTTGCTATTATTAATTTTAATATTATTAGTAGCAGTAATATTAATATTTTTTTATCATTATTACTGATATTATTATTGTTATTAATGTTACCATTGTTATGGTTATTATTGTCGTCGTATCAGGGGATAAATGGGAGGCAGAAAGATCTAATGAATGCTTCGTGGCTCTGTTTCCTAGAATGAAGATCTCTTTACCATAATGATGGGCATTAAAAATGGGGTGCATAAAGTGTGCTTTGGTAAAAAATTTGTTTAAGAGAGAATTAAGAATTACTGGGTAGTACCTTTCTGCAGCAGTGACAAGTTGCTGGAGTGTCTCAGCACGTGGTGGGTACTTGGGCAGGGAGAGGAAGGCTGTCAGGTTGCCACGGTAAGCTGTCGTGATAATAAGACCGAATATCAGCCACACCGCCACCAGTACACGACTGGAACAGGTCTTGGGCAGCCGTCGTGGCAGATTCTGACCCAGCAGCATCCCTGTCAGGTGGTGGACCACGACACTAGCGTCTGTTCTCTCCACATCTTCCCTGCTCTCACTAACACGGATGATCTGCATCAATTTTAATATATTTGTACATTACCGCAATAACATCGCAGTAAAGAGGAGTTATCGTAATATGCAAAATAGCTACAGGGAAAGAATAGTAAAATTCAAAGCGCTTTCGTGATTTCTCACATTATCAATGAAATCTGAAAAAAATAGAAAGTGCTTCGATTTGCTCTATTTTTTTCCACTGACATTTGTACCTTTATGGGGAAGCACTAAATCAGTAGGGGTCTTACAGCATCTAAGTAATGTGAGGTAATGAGCTGCACCTTAAGGAAGTGGTTAGTGTGTTTGAATACTGATATAATTAAGTTATTTCAACCCTTATCACCTAACGATAGATAAGGGAATATTTTGAGTTATGAATTTCTCGTAGTTAATAACACTATTATATAATTAATACATTAACTGTATCATCAATGATTTTTGCTCATATCACCTAATTTAGAGAACAACGTTAGCACCTAATTTCACCATGTCGAAGGACTGTTTAAATATGGAGTCAATTTCAATCATCACAATAAAACGAAGGGGAATTCATAAATATTCCGCACATGGGAGACTGAGACTTAATACGATATTTGGTCCTACTTGGACCATTGACGGGTTATTCGTGTATTGTTCCAGTCAGGGTATTGTGACTTTATATTCTTTACGAGAAGGGAAGTCATCATTGTGACTTTATATTCTTTACGAGAAGGGAAGTCATCATTGTGACTTTTATATTCTTTACGAGAAGGGAAGTCATCATTGTGACTTTATATTCTTTACGAGAAGGGAAGTCATCATTGTGACTTTATATTCTTTACGAGAAGGGAAGTCATCATTGTGACTTTATATTCTTTACGAGAGGGGAAGTCATCATTGTGACTTTATATTCTTTACGAGAGGGGAAGTCATCATTCTGACTTCATATTCTTTACGAGAGGGGAAGTCATCATTGTGACTTTATATTCTTTACGAGAGGGGAAGTCATCATTCTGACTTTATATTCTTTACGAGAGGGGAAGTCATCATTGTGACTTCATATTCTTTACGAGAGGGGAAGTCATCATTGTGACTTCATATTCTTTACGAGAGGGGAAGTCATCATTCTGACTTCATATTCTTTACGAGAAGGAAAGTCATCATTCTGACTTCATATTCTTTACGAGAGGGGAAGTCATCATTCTGACTTCATATTCTTTACGAGAGGGGAAGTCATCATTGTGACTTCATATTCTTTACGAGAGAGGAAGTCATCATTGTGACTTCATATTCTTTACGAGAGGGGAAGTCATCATTCTGACTTCATATTCTTTACGAGAAGGAAAGTCATCATTGTGACTTCATATTCTTTACGAGAGGGGAAGTCATCATCTTTACGAGTTCTCTACATGTCCTCCTCCAGTGTGTTCCTTCAAGACGCCTACATCTACAGGGATTTCACAACTCAGGTCATATCAACCATCGCCAACTATTGACAAATATATTTGCCTCCGGGTTCACAAAATGGACAGCAACTTAGCCAACTTGATAGCCCATTCTAGTATCAGTCGCAGAGTTGCCATAACCTGGGAAAGGTAAGAGCCATCGAATACCATTACATACCTTGTTGCTGCTTTAAGAAGTGGTTAACGCACTGGCCTGTAAGTTTCAGGACTCGCCATGGGTTCACTCCCCACCCGTTCCCTGATTTCCTGTACGAGTGTTGGGTAGTTACAACGACGTGATTAAGTTCTTTGAAGCACTGAAAGTGTCCAGAGAAGATTTTGCTTAATCAGTACTGATCGCTACTGCCGACACCATCTCACAAACACGGGGTCTTGGCTATCTCAGAGGATATGACAAAACTGATCCAGCCTAAAACTGATACTGCTTCCACCTGTTATCTTCCTTAATTCCACGAACCTTGTGTGTCAGTATGATAAAATGTGTCCCTGGTGAAGTGCCTACACTCTGTCATCATCACACTGTTGCTAATCATTATCAATTTACAATATACTACCCCATTCTTAGTGACTTCACCTGTCAGCGTGCTCACATATCCACAACTGTATTGCTAAAAGAAACGTTTCCCACTATCTTTTATATACACATAACTACAGTCAATACTCATCAAATTCATAAGGGGCGGGAAACCAAACATAACAATCCCTAAGACCTCAGACTTCCCTTTTACTGGCCAATTATCTTTGCTTATAGGTTGTCGAATGTAAACAAGAAATGTATTCATAAGAGTCTCGACTCTTGTTTACTGCAATGAGGCCGAAAACATTACTAAATCTGATTCCTCTAATGGAGTGTTAATGTTGCAGTTTTGTAACTGTAGTGTAAAGCATCCCTCTGCCAAGACAGTGATGGAGTGAATGATGGTGAAAGTTTTTCTTTATCGGGTCACCCTGCCTGGGTGGCAATCTGCCGATATGTTAATAATAAAAAATAATATTTTAAACATTTATAAATAAAAGGTTGGATATATTATTGTCATGTCATGAGATCAAAAAAGGTAACTTTCAATTGACAATAGTTCTGTTGTCTAACTAGTGGTTCTTCAAAATCAATACGTATTCAAAATCACTTAATCTCTATGGATTTTGTTGGTAGTGTTGTGGAGGGTCCAAAGCTTCACTGTTTCTATTATTATTATTAAAAACACATAATCCATTTACGTTTTTCACTACTGCATTTAAAGCTTGATGAAAATAGATAACAAAATGGATAATTAAAGTTATATTGGCGGACCCTAAAGAGATACTGACACCATGAAGTCTTTCTATATATAGAGATTATATTCTGTTATAGGGACTAAAGTGTTCTTGATTGTGAGGTTAATTGCAGCCTTAATTACCCTCGTGTGGTCGACAAGATTGATTGCATTACATACTCAGATATACGTAGTTCTTAAGTTATAGGGACTAAAGTGTTCTTGACTGTGAGGTTAGTTGCAGCCTTAATTACTCTCGTGTGGTCGACAAGATTACATTACGTATTACAGATTACATGTACGTAGTTCTTAAGTTTTGAAAGGGTAAAAAGGTTTAATACCATTACTAAAACAATACATAAATAACCCACATATAGGAGATTAAAGTTTATGACGACGTTTCGGTCCGAGTTAGACCATTAAGTAATTACTTAGTGACTAGTTTGTGAACCCAATATGTAATTTGTGCGGATTATTTGTATATTCATTAAAATAACATACCAGAAGCAAGATGATTGGGGCGACGAACAATGCTAAGGCAATGGCCAGCCACACCAGGTCTGTGAGAGGGTAATAAAGCGACTGCCACTGAGGTTTGATACCCAGCACAGCCATACTGAAGTCCAGAGAGGCGTATTCATACTGCCACGAGTAGTCGTAGCGTTCCAGCCGCTCCGGCAGAATGTTGTGGAAGACAGCGGCCAGGAAAGCCACACGTTCCTCAACACGCTGTGTGACCTGCGCCACAGTAATGTTATCACACATTAATTATTGAAATTATAGCAGAGAACCTTCAATTTTGAGTTTATTTTATATAATGTATATTCCTGGTAATGCTGCTGGGTATATACACTCGACTTCCTTGTCGGGTCTCAGACGTTCCAACATAAATCGTTAACGAGCAGTTTTTGTAAATGAGAAAAGAGTCTGACTTTTTATATATAAAGTATTTTCTTTAAATCCTAATAAAATTTAATTCCTATCTATTTTGTGAGAAATAACGAAAGAGACTGGAAATTCACTATTTTTTCACAGTTGCTATTTTGCTGTGATTATATATATATAAATATATATATATATATATATATATTATATATATTATATATATATATAATATATATTATATATATATATATATATATATATATATATATATATATATATATATTATATATATATATAATATATATATATATATTTATTTTTTTATTATCACACCGGCCGATTCCCACCAAGGCAGGGTGGCCACCAAGGCAGGGTGGCCCGAAAAAGAAAAACTTTCACCATCATTCACTCCATCACTGTCTTGCCAGAAGGGTGCTTTACACTACAGTTTTTAAACTGCAACATTAACACCCCTCCTTCAGAGTGCAGGCACTGTACTTCCCATCTCCAGGACTCAAGTCCGGCCTGCCGGTTTCCCTGAACCCCTTCATATATGTTACTTTGCTCACACTCCAACAGCATGTCAAGTATTAAAAACCATTTGTCTCCATTCACTCCTATCAAACACGCTCACGCATGCCTGCTGGAAGTCCAAGCCCCTCGCACACAAAACCTCCTTTACCCCCTCCCTCCAACCTTTCCTAGGCCGACCCCTACCCCGCCTTCCTTCCACTACGGACTGATACACTCTTAAAGTCACTCTGTTTCTCTCCATTCTCTCTACATGTCCGAACCACCTCAACAACCCTTCCTCAGCCCTCTGGACAACAGTTTTGGTAATCCCGCACCTCCTCCTAACTTCCAAACTACGAATTCTCTGCATTATATTCACACCACACATTGCTCTCAGACATGACATCTCCACTGCCTCCAGCCTTCTCCTCGCTGCAACATTCATCACCCATGCTTCACATTCATATAAGAGCGTTGGTAAAACTATACTCTCATACATTCCCCTCTTTGCCTCCAAGGACAAAGTTCTTTGTCTCCACAGACTCCTAAGTGCACCACTCACCCTTTTCCCCTCATCAATTCTATGATTCACCTCATCTTTCATAGACCCATCCGCTGACACGTCCACTCCCAAATATCTGAATACATTCACCTCCTCCATACTCTCTCCCTCCAATCTGATATCCAATCTTTCATCGCCTAATCTTTTTGTTATCCTCATAACCTTACTCTTTCCTGTATTCACTTTTAATTTTCTTCTTTTGCACACCCTACCAAATTCATCCACCAATCTCTGCAACTTCTCTTCAGAATCTACCAAGAGCACAGTGTCATCAGCAAAGAGCAACTGTGACAACTCCCACTTTATGTGTGATTCTTTATCTTTTAACTCCACGCCTCTTGCCAAGACCCTCGCATTTACTTCTCTTACAACCCCATCTATAAATATATTAAACAACCACGGTGACATCACACATCCTTGTCTAAGGCCTACTTTTACTGGAAATAATTTCCCTCTTTCCTACATACTCTAACTTGAGCCTCACTATCCTCGTAAAAACTCTTCACTGCTTTCAGTAACCTACCTCCTACACCATACACCTGCAACATCTGCCACATTGCCCCCCTATCCACCCTGTCATACGCCTTTTCCAAATCCATAAATGCCAGAAAGACCTCTTTAGCCTTATCTAAATACTGTTCACTTATATGTTTCACTGTAAACACCTGGTCCACACACCCCCTACCTTTCCTAAAGCCTCCTTGTTCATCTGCTATCCTATTCTCCGTCTTACTCTTAATTCTTTCAATAATAACTCTACCATACACTTTACCAGGTATACTTAACAGACTTATCCCCCTATAATTTTTGCACTCTCTTTTGTCCCCTTTGCCTTTATACAAAGGAACTATGCATGCTCTCTGCCAATCCCTAGGCACCTTACCCTCTTCCAAACATTTATTAAATAATTGCACCAACCACTCCAAAACTATATCCCCACCCGCTTTTAACATTTCTATCTTTATCCCATCAATCCCGGCTGCCTTATCCCCTTTCATATATATATATATATATATATATATATATATATATATATATATATATATATATATATATATATATATATATATATAATATATATATATATATATATATATATATAATATATATATATATGGGAAGTACAGTGCCTGCACTCTGAAGGAGGGGTGTTAATGTTGCAGTTTAAAAACTGTAGTGTAAAGCACCCTTCTGGTAAGACAGTGATGGAGTGAATGATGGTGAAAGTTTTTCTTTTTCGGGCCACCCTGCCTTGGTGGGAATCGGCCAGTGTGATAATACTAAAATAATAAAATATAAACATGAATTTTGGAGCGCTAAAGGTGAAAGGGTCGAACAACTCCCGAAACAAGTGATTTTGAATAAACAGAACTGCGGCTGGCCAGGACTCAATCCCGCATTCCCATACCCAGCCCAGTGAGAACTGAACAAGGCACGCATCACTGTATCCACTGGACCACAAGTTCTCAAACACCAGGCGCTCAGTGGTACTGAGAATGTTTCTCCTGTAATACTGCTGTTCATGCGATAATTTCTGTCTCATCTCATTACCTTCAACATTTCAAACATTTCAATGTCTTAGAATTGCTAATATTATCACAATACATGTTCAAATTTTGTTATACATCATATATGAAGCCTCGCCGTACATCATATATGATGCCTCGCCGTACATCATATATGAAGCCTCGCCGTACATCATATATGAAGCCTTGCCGTACATCATATATGAAGCCTTGCCGTACATCATATATGAAGCCTCGCCGTACATCATATATGAAGCCTTGCCGTACATCATGTATGAAGCCTTGCCGTACATCATATATGAAGCCTTGCCATACATCATATATGAAGCCTTGCCGTACATCATATATGAAGCCTTGCCGTACATCATATATGAAGCCTTGCAGTACATCATGTATGAAGCCTTGCCGTACATCATATATGAAGCCTTGCAGAACATCATGTATGAAGCCTTGCCGTACATCATATATGAAGCCTTGCCGTACATCATATATGAAGCCTTGCCGTACATCATATATGAAGCCTTGCCGTACATCATATATGAAGCCTTGCAGTACATCATGTATGAAGCCTTGCCGACATCATATATGAAGCCTTGCAGTAACATCATGTATGAAGCCTTGCCGTACATCATATATGAAGCCTTGCAGTACATCATATATGAAGCCTTGCCGTACATCATATATGAAGCCTTGCAGTACATCAGGTATGAAGCCTTGCCGTACATCATATATGAAGCCTTGCAGTACATCATGTATGAAGCCTTGCCGTACATCATATATGAAGCCTTGCCGTACATCATATATGAAGCCTTGCCGTACATCATATATGAAAGCCTTGCCCTACATCATATATGAAGCCTTGCAGTACATCATGTATGAAGCCTTGCCGTACATCATATATGAAGCCTTGCAGTACATCATGTATGAAGCCTTGCCGTACATCATATATGAAGCCTTGCAGTACATCAATATTTAACCTTGCCGTACATCATATATGAAGCCTTGCCGTACATCATATATGAAGCCTTGCCGTACATCATATATGAAGCCTTGCCGTACATCATATATGAAGCCTTGCCGTACATCATGTATGAAGCCTTGCCGTACATCATATATGAAGCCTTGCCGTACATCATGTATGAAGCCTTGCCGTAAAATCATATATGAAGCCTTGCCGTACATCATATATGAAGCTTTGCCGTACATCATATATGAAGCCTTGCCGTACATCATATATGAAGCCTTGCAGTACATCATGTATGAAGCCTTGCCGTACATCATATATGAAGCCTTGCAGTACATCATATATGAAGCCTCGCCGTACATCATATATGAAGCCTTGCCGTACATCATATATGAAGCCTTGCCGTACATCATATATGAAGCCTTGCAGTACATCATATATGAAGCCTTGCAGTACATCATATATGAAGCCTTGCCGTACATCATATATGAAGCCTCGCCGTACATCATATATGAAGCCTTGCAGTACATCGTATATGAAGCCTTGCAGTACATCATATATGAAGCCTTGCCGTACATCATATATGAAGCCTTGCGGTACATCATATATGAAGCCTTGCAGTACATCATATATGAAGCCTTGCAGTACATCATATATGAAGCCTTGCAGTACATCATATATGAAGCCTTGCAGTACATCATATATGAAGCCTTGCAGTACATCATATATGAAGCCTTGCCGTACATCATATATGAAGCCTTGCCGTACATCATATATGAAGCCTCGCCGTACATCATATAAAGAAGCCTTGCCGTACATCATATATGAAGCCTTGCCGTACATCATATATGAAGCCTCGCCGTACATCATATATGAAGCCTTGCCGTACATCATATATGAAGCCTTGACGTACATCATATATGAAGCCTTGCCGTACATCATATATGAAGCCTTGCCGTACATCATATATGAAGCCTTGACGTACATCATATATGAAGCCTTGCCGTACATCATATATGAAGCCTTGACGTACATCATACATGAAGCCTTGCCGTACATCATATATGAAGCCTTGCCGTACATCATATATGAAGCCTTGCCGTACATCATATATGAAGCCTTGCAGTACATCATATATGAAGCCTTGCCGTACATCATATATGAAGCCTTGCCGTACATCATATATGAAGCCTCGCCGTACATCATATATGAAGCCTCGCCATACATCATACATGAAGCCTCGCCGTACATCATATATGAAGCCTTGCCGTACATCATATATGAAGCCTTGCCGTACATCATATATGAAGCCTTGCCGTACATCATATATGAAGCCTTGCCGTACATCATATATGAAGCCTTGCTGTACATCATATATGAAGCCTCGCCGTACATCATATATGAAGCCTCGCCGTACATCATATATGAAGCCTCGCCGTACATCATATATGAAGCCTTGCCGTACATCATATATGAAGCCTTGCCGTGCATCATATATGAAGCCTTGCTGTACATCATATATGAAGCCTCGCCGTACATCATATATGAAGCCTCGCCGTACAAAGGGATAATGTGCTGTAGTATTTAAAGATACTTGCCTCTCTGGTATTAATGGAATGTTTGAATTAGATTTGGACAGTATATATGCTAATTTCCCTTTTTTATTAAGGAAATTTGAGATAAGTTGGTATATATGACTTGAAAGACCTCTTCTGATTTGCTAAATATCTCCAATAATAATTTAATTGCGCTGTACCATTTTAACGTGGTGCTCTGGTGAACATGGGACTGATATGTGAGTAACTGTTACTTGTCTCGTATCAGGCTGCGACCGATGTATTTCTGGATTTTTGTTGACGTGACAGAGTAACTTACCACGAGCACCGGTGCACCACAAGCACCGGTGTACCACAAGCACCGGTGTACCACAAGCACCGGTGTGCCACAAGCACCGGTACCACAAGCACCGGTGTACCACAAGCACCGGTGTACCACAAGCACCGGTGTGCTCAAGCAACGGTGTACCACAAGCACCGGTGTACCACAAGCACCAGTGTACCACAAGCACTGGTGTACCACAAGCACCAGTGTACCACAAGCACCGTTGTACCACAAGCACCGGTGTACCACAAGCACCGGTGTACCACAAGCACCGGTGTACCACAAGCACCGGTGTACCACAAGCACCGGTGTACCACAAGCACCGGTGTGCCACAAGCACCGGTGTGCCACAAGCACCGGTGTGCCACAAGCACCGGTGTACCACAAGCACCGGTGTACCACAAGCACCGGTGTGCCACAAGCACCGGTGTACCACAAGCACCGGTGTGCCACAAGTACCGGTGTACCACAAGCACCGGTGTACCACAAGCACCAGTGTGCCACAAGCACCGGTGTACTACAAGCACCGGTGTGCCACAAGCACCGGTGTGCCACAAGCACCGCTGTACCACAAGCACCGGTACCACAAGCACCGGTGTACCACAAGCACCAGTGTGCCACAAGCACCGGTGTACCACAAGCATCAGTGTGCCACAAGCACCGGTGTACCACAAGCACCAGTGTGCCACAAGCACCGGTGTACTACAAGCACCGGTGTACCACAAGCACCGGTGTACCACAAGCACCGGTGTACCACAAGCACCGGTGTACCACAAGCACCGGTGTGCCACAAGCACCGGTGTACCACAAGCACCGGTGTACTACAAGCACCGGTGTACCACAAGCACCGGTGTACTACAAGCACCGGTGTACCACAAGCACCGGTGTACCACAAGCACCGGTGTACCGCAAGCACCGGTGTACTACAAGCACCGGTGTACCACAAGCACCAGTGTACCACAAGCACCAGTGTACTACAAGCACCGGTATACCACAAGCACCGGTGTACCTCAAGCACCGGTGTACCACAAGCACCAGTGTGCCACAAGCACCGGTGTACCACAAGCACCGGTGTACCACAAGCACCGGTGTGCCACAAGCACTGGTGTACCACAAGCACCGGTGTACTACAAGCAACGGTGTACCACAAGCACCGGTGTGCCACAAGCACCGGTGTACCACAAGCACCGGTGTACCACAAGCACCGGTGTGCCACAAGCACCGGTGTATCACAAGCACCGGTGTACCACAAGCACCGGTGTACCACAAGCACCGGTGTACCACAAGCACCGGTGTACCACAAGCACCGGTGTTCCACAAGCACCGGTGTACCACAAGCACCGGTGTACCACAAGCACCGGTGCACCACAAGCACCGGTGTACCACAATCACCAGTGTACCACAAGCATCGGTGTACCACAAGCACCAGTGTACCACAAGCACCGGTGCACCACAAGCACCGGTGTACCACAAGCACCGGTGTACCACAAGCACCGGTGTACCACAAGCACCGGTGCACCACAAGCACCGGTGTACCACAATCACCAGTGTACCACAAGCATCGGTGTACCACAAGCACCGGTGTACCACAAGCACCGGTGTACCACAAGCACCGGTGTACCACAAGCACCGGTGTACCACAAGCACCAGTGTACCACAATCACCAGTGTACCACAAGCACCAGTGTACTGATCCCCGGTACGGATGGAAGCTTTGTACATGTTTCCTAATGCTTGTTGTCCTTGTTCACTTAGCAGTAAGTAGGTACCTAGGTGTTAGCCGACTAGTGTGAGTCGCATCCTGAGGGTGGTAGTATACCTTAGAATGAGCTAGGTTCTGCAGTGAGCTGAGGTTGAATAACTGCTCTTAGCCTGTTGAAGATTGAGACACTTTTGCAACATATGGGAATCTGTGTGTGTGTGGGCATCCATTCTGTGTGTATGTGTGTGTGCATCCATACTGTGTGTGTGTGTGTGTGTGTGTGTGTGTGTGTGTGGGCATTCTTACTGTGTGTGTGTGTGTGTGTGTGTGTGTGTGTGTGTGTGTGTGTGTGTGTGTGTGTGTGTGTGTGTGTGTGTGGGCATCCATACTTTGTGTGTGGGCATCCACACTGTGTGTGTGGGCATCCACACTGTGTGTGTGGGCATCCACACTGTGTGTGTGTGGGCATCCACACTGTGTGTGTGTGGGCATCCACACTGTGTGTGTGGGCATCCACACTGTGTGTGTGGGTATCCACACTGTGTGGGTATGGGCTTCCACAGTGTGTGTGTGTGTGTATGTGGGCATCCACACTGTATGTGTGTGGGCATCCACACTGTGTGTGTGTGGGCATCAATACTGTGTGTGTGTGCGTGTGTGGGCATCCACACTGTGTGTGTGGGTATCCACACTGTGTGTGTATGGGCTTCCACAGTGTGTGTGTGTGTGTGTGTGTGGGCATCCACACTGTGTGTGTGTGGGCATCCACACTGTGTGTGTGTGGGCATCCACACTGTGTGTGTGTGTGGGCATCAATACTGTGTGCGTGTGTGTGTGTGTTTGGGCATCCACACTGTGTATGTGGGCATCCACCCTGTGTGTGTGGGCATCCACACTGTGTGTGTGTGGGCATCCACACTGTGTGGATTCTATGTTGATGGAAAGGCTGAGACTCACCTCTGAATAATGAGGAAACGTTTCGCCAAACAGTGGATTCACCAGGCCAATACAAAGAAGAACGTGGTAAAAAGAGGAATTAGGGCTAGTCAGTCCGTCAACCTGGAATCGATATGTTCAGTCCATCAATCTTGGACTGATGAAGCCACTGTGAGGCGATACGTTACCTCAGTCAAGATTCCCCTAAGTCGCATAAGTGACTGATTCTTCAACCTGAGGGTTTTCTGAAGTATTTATGACAGAGACTCACCTCTGCCCAGGAGGTGGTGGGTACCACGTTGATGGTAAAGTTGAGAGCCATGGATATAGCTTCCAGTGTGTAGAAGTCTGTTCCAGAGTAAACAGTAGTGTTGTCTGGACCCTTCACCTCGTCCCAGTATGGTGGGAATGGTAGGGCAGTCACGTTCACTCTGGCACCGTAAAAACTGTCGAGATGGCAGGCATATCTATTATTGTTATTATTAAAATTATTATTATTATTATTATTATTATTATTATTATTATTTTTATTATTATTATTATTATTATTATTATTATTATTATTATAACGAGGTGATAAAACCATCGGGACCATAACGAATCCCTGGAAAAGAAAGTAATCAGGTCTGAACATACTAAGCAAACCCTATTTATTTAAATAAAGATTATTATTATTAATAATATTATTACGTGACCGGCTGTCTTTCACCCAGGGTAGGAAGGCCAGATAAACAAGACAGCAGGTTCATCATTAATTCAATAGCTGTCTTGCCAGAAGTTTGTAGACATCACTGTTCTCACGATCTTTCCAAATTCAGCATCCTCACACCTCTTTCAGAGGGCAGGCACTGTAACTGCCACTTCCAGGACTCGAGTCCAGCTAACCAGTCACTTCGAATCCCCACTTAAATGTTATCTTGCTTATATTTCGACAGCACGTTAACCAGAAAATCTATTCATCTTCATTGATCCCGATCTAACACGTTCACACAAGACTGTTGGGTGCTCAAGCCCTTTAACACTCAAAACAACCTTCGTCCCCTCCCTTCAACTATACTGTCCACAGGATGGATATGGGGTGCACAACTAGCCACCTCGGTTTCAAAATCTAACTTTTCCTCCTTCCCATTTCAGAAATATTAACCTCTTGGTCATCCTATTCTGTTCTAACTTCTCTAAATGCTTAAATCTCCATAACAAGCTCTCCACAGCCTCCCCCTCCCCCCCCCGTCTCTCTGTATTAGACCTCTGATATCCCAGCCCTGTCTTCCAAATGCCCCAATCTGAATTCTATGCATAATATTCACACCAAATATTCTTTTCCACACTTTAACTCCATTATCTCCATCCTCTTTATTTTGCAACATTTAAAACCCATGCCTCACACCCATAAAAAAGGGTTGGTATCACTATATGTTAATTCGCTACCCATTTTGTACCCACAGATAAATTTCTTGTTCACAGATACCTGAACACTCCAATTATCTTTTATCTCTCGTTTATTGTATGGTTCATATTATTTTTCAAACACATATCTGCATCAATTCTACTTCCAGATATCTGAATGTTTTCACTTCCTTCATACTCTCTACCTCCAATCTGATATCCAGTCACTTTTTGCCTGTACCTATTTGTTACTCTCATCACCTTGCTCTTTTCTATGTTCACTTCTAATTTCATTCTACCTTGCCATATTCCTCCATCAACCTTCGTAACTTCTCTTCAGTTTCTCCCTACAGAACTGTCGTCAGCCAAGAGCTACTGTGATAACTCTCACTCTGTATTAGATTCAATGTTTTTTTAATCTCACTCGTTCTGTAATTTGTATATTATAAATCTGAATATCCATTTTCATATTCAGTATTTTACTCAAACATGGCGATCGCTAGAAAACTGCTGCTGGTACTGAAAACTGTGTATGTCTACTCTGGGGTAGGTTAGACGTTGTTACTGTCACCAAGAAGCCGGTTGAGTGGGAATTCATCTCAACCGATATGAAAATTTTACGTAACTAACTAGTACATAGGAGAAAGAAACGTAGGACGACGTTTAGGACCGACTTGAGCCATTAACTAGTCACACTAGCACACGAAGGTAATGGAGCCAGTATATATACGAGAGGATGGTAGGGAGGGAACAAAAATATTGGAACGAAGAAGTGGTAGAGGTAATGCTGGTAGTGGAAGTAATAGTAGTAGTGGTAGTAGTAGTAGTAGTAGTAGTAGTAGTAGTAGTAGTAGTAGTAGTAGTAGTAGTAGTAGTAGTAGTAGTAGTAGTAGTAGTAATAGGTTGGGGGAATAGTGAAAAGATTGAGAGGGGCATCTCTGCAAATGGATGAAAAAAAAAAAAACACGTGAGTAGCGGTTACTTGTGATGCGAAAGATAGTGTTGCTGTCCTTAGAAACCACTTCCGAATTTCTCCTTTGCATCGTTGGAGCAGCAGAGTTCTTGATCAAGATGAAGCACTTGTCAGGGTTGACTAAAGGGGAAAATAGGCGAAACAATGAGACCAAACTAATGAACTGTCAAATCGCTATAGGATAGCCCATGTCCTTGCAGGAGATGCAAGAAGCCTCTCCACTATTTGTAAGGGATGCTTCCCAGCATCCCTTAGAAGGAATGAAAATAAACTAATCACCCTGAGCAGCAGTCACTTCTTAGGGAAATGGTAGTGCCATTGTCCTAGGAAACCGCCTGTTACTTTGCCTTGCGTTCGTCATCAGGATGGCACCTCCTCAAGAACTGACTGAGCAAGGCTTAGTAAAACCATCTTATTAAATAGTGATCACCAATGAAACAATCGTAATTCAGCATACATTGGCAAAGAGCAAACTGCAATATGAGCCAAGAGTTGAACACATTCGGTTGACGCTCGTGGATCAGCAAGCAACCTCCAGTAATACTCTCACTGTTAGAAGGCCCACTGAATGGCCACTTAATGTCCCACTGGTCACTGGTGAGCTACATGACACATACTAAGATGGTTAATTTATTTTAGGGGGAGTGACATGAGCACCTCAGCATCATTTGTGCATGGGGCTCAACAACAATTAACCATCTCAGACCACTAATTACCCAACAAAAGGCTGCAGTTAGAATGATAACAAATTCTCACTACAGGCAGCACACTCCACCAATATTCAATACACTAAACCTACTCACCATACAAAACATCCATACTTATTATTGCACCTATTACATACATAGAACACTTAACTCTGATATTAACCCTCCCCTCAAACATCTCCTTGCCAACCTCAACAGAACACATGACCATAACACAAGGCACAGATCACTCTTTGATGTTCCTCGTGTCCATCTCACACTATGCAAAAACTCAATGCACATAAAAGGCCCTAAAATCTGGAATTCATTACCTGTAAATATAAAAGAAACACTACCAGTTTATAAATTCAAGTCTCTACTCAAAGATCACTTACTCACCCAAAACCAAATAAATACTGAACAACTGAACCTTATAAATTGTATATCTTAAATGTTTCTCACAATTACATCACATAAATGTTAAACCTAAAACCGAATCTAACTTTATTATTTTTTAAATACACTACCTAACAGAATCCTTCATATGACTGAATGCAACCATATGACCTGTCTTTGTAATACTCACTTGTGCTTTATAGTAATCTGTTTACATTAATGTTTTATCACTGATTTCATCATTGCTTAGTTAATCTTAAGTTAATTTTAAGCCAGCCCGTAATGCTATGCATAGTATAAGTGGCTTTGGCATGCTGCTCTTATCTGTATTTTTTTGTACCTCTGTATGTGTGCTCAAATTGATAATAAATAAATAAATAAATAAATAAATAAATAAATAAATTCTTGGTTGGATTGCTGGAGCAAGGTTGAGCAGAGACTCCTTTTTTCATCATAAAGCGACATTTCACGAAAGGGAAAGTACCCTGAATAATGAAACCAAAAGAAGCGGGAGGTGCAGAGTATTCAAACGTGACGGCATTACATAACCATCTCATTCTCTCGATGGGTTCGTATCAAGACCGCTTCACAAGTATTTAGTCACAACACTTGAAGGAACAGTCCACATTTTCCTATCCTGGGAATGGATAGATCGTTTCCTCACTAAGTAGAGCTCCTTAATTTCTGCCTCTACCTTTAATCTTTACACAAAAAATAATATTTGGTTCACGACTTGACTAAAATGTTATTCTTGACATCTGTCTTTAAATTGTGGGTTAGAGGAGAGTTAAGTTTACATGTGACAAATAACTAGGCAAATTCATTAACACTAACCCACGCAAAAAAATTAAACAAAGACCATGCGTAATATATACAGTGGATCCTCGGTTGTCGACCATATTACTTGTCGAATAAATCGATTTTCGAAAGAACTCGAGAAAAAAAAATGCCTTGGTTTCCGTAGGTTCTCTTGGTTGTCGACCGACAACGCGAACGGCTCAGGTCACGTGGTCACAGGGTGCCCACTGGATGCTGTAAACATCTCTTGAGGTTGTGTTGTGCATCTTGCAAACTTTTGTTGTTATTTTGCAGTTTTGGTGCAGTTTTTTTATTGTGAGATAAGTCATCACAGGTCCGAAGATAAAGACATGAAAACAAAAAGAAATAGTTGAAAAAGTGAGAGTGATATAGCAAAAATTTTGGTAAATGTAAGTTTATCGTTGGGACGATACTGGTTCAAAGGAAATAAATGAAGCAGCTGACCTTGCAAAAGGCGCGAAAGTGAGATCAAAACAAAGGCCGCAAATTATTGAGGAGGTTGAAAAACTCTTGTTGATTTGGATGAAGAAAAAACAGTTACACTGTGACATTGTTTCATAGGGAATTTTATGTGAAAAGACGAGGGAGCTTCATGATGACCTCCTGGAAAAAGGAAACCTGGAACAAGTGCTGGAACTCAGTTCTTCAAGGCTAGTAGGGGTTGTGTGGCGTGCAAAGAGTATGTAACCTTTATTCGGCGCATGTACACACCCTCATTTACAGGTTATCTCCCCCAACCAGCGAACCAGGTGACTGAGGGTTGACGATGGGGCCCCGTCGTTCAACTAGTAACCAGGTTCCAGCCAATAAGAAGATGGTTTTGGCAATCGCAGAGGTTATGTGGGTACCACTCTCCTGTCTGCCCTTGCCATTCCCATTCTAGAACTGGTTGAAACACGGTCTGCTCTCTTGTGGCTTCTATTCTGCCTTGCTTACCGTGGAGTGCACTAATACCTATCACTGTACATAGTGTATATAGTGTACATACTGCTGTTCTAAATTGGTGAAGGATAATATAAGTCAAAACTTTTCTGCTGTGTTTATTTTGCTCCCTTTACACCCAGGATAACAGGACATTTGGACTCCTGGGTTGTAATAGGTTGGTTTAAAAATTTTCAGAAAAGTGGCATTCATAGTGTGGCTAGGCATGGGGAGGCTGCCAGTGCCGACAAAGTGGCTCTTGAATTGTGTTAAGTGTTCAACTGACAAGACAGGCCTCTTCTGGAAGAAAATGCTGAAGAGTACTTACGTAACTGAAGAGGAAAAGTCAATTACAGGACAAGCCCATGGAAGATAGACTCACTCTGCTACTATGTGGTAATGCAAGTGGGGACTTGAAATATTGAAGCCATTACTTGTTTATCATTCCGAAAATCCTCAAATTTTTAAGAACAATGTTATGAAAAATAAACTGGATGTAATGTGAAGAGCCAACACGTAAGTTTGGTTCACGAGGTCTTTGTTCCCACTGTCAAAAAGCACCTCATTAAAACACATTGCCATTCAGGGCCCTTCTGCTCACCCTCCATGCTTGGAAAACGAGTTGCTGGAGGAATTCAGTTTTATAACCGTGGAGTTCTTGCCTCCGAACACCACTCCTCTCATCCAGCACATGGACCAGCAGGTCATTTCTAACTTCAAGAAACTCTACACCAAAGCACCTTTTGAAGGGATCTTTGAAATCACTTCAGAAACATATTTAACCTTCGGAAAGGTCTGGTGGGACCATTTCAATATCCTCACCTGCTTCAGGCTTATAAACAAAGCCTGGGAAATGTGTCTTCCAGGACCATGCAGTCAGCATGGAGGAAATTATGGCCTGATTTTGTGGCACCAGGGATTTTGAAGGCTTTGAAGAAAAGCCTGAGCTGGTAGAGGATATTGTGTCCCTGGGGGTCTAAGGGTGACTGAAGATAATGTGGAGGAGTTGGTGGAGGAGTTGGTGGAGGAGCATAGAACTAAACTCATCACAAAAGAACTTGCAGACTTTCAGAAGGAATAGCAACAGGTTGCAGCTGAGTTGTCATCAGAGGAAACAGAGAGAAGGGATGATGTGCCAATTGCACTTGTCAAGAAAAGGTTTGATAATGGCGTAAAGTGGAGGAATTAGCAGAAAAATACCATCAATCCAAAGCAGTGGCCATCCATCACTGGACAGGGTTATAGTGAAACAAAGAACCAGTGAGCCAGAACAACTTGTCAGTGGTGAATAGAGACGAGAAAGAATACCAGAAAGACAGTTGTCTGATATATTAATAGAAGATGACTATTCAATTCCAAGCACTAATATACCCCCTCCTCTCCTCCACCTCCTGCTTCCACTATGCCATTAGCTCTCTTCTGGCAGGAAAAGGCAGTTAAATTTTCATTCATTTGCTGTATACCTGGAGAGTGTTTCGGGGGTCAACGCCCCCCGAGGCCTGGTCTGTGACCAGGCTTCATGATGACTCAGTTAAAGCTTCTTTAAGTATTCATTTTTACAGTTTTATGTAGTAGTTAGCACGTTTTTAATAAATTATATTGTTACTTAGGGTCTGGAACGGATTAATTCTACATTATTCTTTATGGAAAAAATTGCTCCGGTTGTCGTCCGTTTTGGTTGTCGACCCGACATCTGGAATGAATTAAATTCGACCACAGAGGTTCCACTGTATTTCGGTCTATCTCTATGGCATTTTTCCATTTGTAAAAGTCCTCGTTAGGAGACTATACATGTACTATACATGTACTATACATGTACTATACATGTACTATGAATGTACTATACATGTACTATACATGTACTATACATGTACTATACATGTACTATACATGTACTATACATGTACTATACATGTACTCATCTTCCTTCTTATTGCCACCATGGTAGTTTATTTATGTCTTTAACTAATGTATATTATACTTCTATATTTGGATATAAACATGTGTAGATCCTTATGAATTTCGTAATAAAATAAAGTGGACTCCATACATGGGATCAAAGTCTGATATTACATGGCTATTACAAATCCAGTGGTCATGAGTAGAGGGATCAAGAGCTCATATCTTGCAGACTTTAATAGACTAATTTTAATAGACTTTAATATACCACTATATTATTAAGATATTTACTTTGAAAATTTGGCCGGGAAGAGCACAACATTGGGTTTACAGAGCAGTCCTCGTTGTGGCTTCCAGTGAGCCAGCTGCACCATCTTGGCTCCCTCGACGCTGTACGGCAGCTGGGTGTACACACGTGCCCTGTACAAAGTAATTATGTCTTACCAACACTGTTCATGTGTTTATTATATATACAGTATATGTGTGTATATATGTGTATACATGTGTGTATATATGTGATATGTTGTGTATCTTTATACGTATATGCTTCTAAACTGTTGTATTCTGAGCACCTCTGCAAAAACAGTGATAATGTGTGAGTGTGGTGAAAGTGTTGAATGATGATGAAAGTATTTTCTTTTTGGGGATTTTCTTTCTTTTTTGGGTCACCCTGCCTCGGTGGGAGACGGCCGACTTGTTGAAAAAAAAAGGGGTGTATAATGCAGTTGGGTGAGGAGGGGGTGTATGTGTGTGTGTACTCACCTATGTCGTGCCGAATAGGTAAAACTTGTGATTTTGGATTAAATAGCAATGCTCTTCTTGCTGAAAAAGGCAAGCGAGGAACTGGGTATGCAATAATTTCGCAAAAATCATTCTGAACGCAACGAAAAAATATATTTCATTGTGTTTATTTATTATTAAATTATTGTAAACTTATCTAAAATGTATTTAGCTGGATTAGGCTAAATTAAATTGCGTTTGTTATAATAAGGTCAGGTAAGTTTTCTAAGGTTCTATTGGTACAAAATTATTAATTTTAAATTAACATTAAATTAACATTTAAGCGTATAAGAGAAAATTATACAAAGGATTTAATTTTAAGCAAGTTCTTGCTAATTGACCAGTTTTACCTATTCGGCACCACACACAGACACACATATCCCACACACACACACACACACACACACACACACACACACACACACACACACACACACACACACACACAGGGAGAAGCAGGAAGGCCAGGACGAGTGAAGCCAAACTACAAGAAAGGGGACTACACAGGAATGAGGAACTTCCTGAACGGGGTTCAGTGGGACAGAGAACTGGCAGGGAAGCCAGTTAATGAGATGATGGAATATGTAGCAACAAAATGCAAGGAGGCTGAGGAGAGGTTTGTACCCAAGGGTAACAGGAATAATGAAAAAGCCAGGATGAGCCCATGGTTTACCCAAAGGTGCAGGGAGGCAAAAACCAAGTGTGCTAGAGAATGGAAGAAATATAGAAGGCAAAGGACCCAGGAGAATACGGAGAACAGTCGTAGAGCCAGAAACGAATATGCACAGATAAGAAGGGAGGCCCAAAGACAATATGAAAATGACATAGCAGCGAAAGCCAAATCTGACCCGAAACTGTTGTACAGCCACATCAGGAGGAAAACAACAGCCAAGGACCAGGTAATCAGGCTAAGGAAGGAAGGAGGAGAGACAACAAGAAATGACCGTGAAGTATGTGAGGAACTCAACAAGAGATTCAAAGAAGTGTTCACAGAGGAGACAGAAGGGGCTCCAGAAAGACGGAGAGGTGGGGCACACCACCAAGTGCTGGACACAGTGCACACAACCGAGGAAGAAGTGAAGAGGCTTCTGAGTGAGCTAGATACCTCAAAGGCAATGGGGCCAGATAACATCTCCCCATGGGTTTTGAGAGAGGGAGCAGAGGAGCTACGTGTACCCCTAACAACAATATTCAATACATCTATCGAAACAGGGAGATTGCCTGAGGCATGGAAGACAGCAAATGTAGTCCCAATCTTTAAAAAAGGAGACAGACATGAAGCATTAAACTACAGACCAGTGTCACTGACATGTATAGTATGCAAAATCATGGAGAAGATTATCAGGAGAAGAGTGGTGGAACACCTAGAAAGGAATGATCTCATCAACAGCAGCCAACATGGTTTCAGGGACGGGAAATCCTGTGTCACAAACCTACTTGAGTTCTATGACAGGGTGACAGCAGTAAGACAAGAGAGAGAGGGGTGGGTGGATTGCATATTCTTGGACTGCAAGAAGGCGTTTGACACAGTTCCACACAAGAGATTGGTGCAAAAACTGAAGGACCAAGCAGGGATAACAGGGAAGGCACTACAATGGATCAGAGAATACTTGTCAGGAAGACAGCAGCGAGTCATGGTACGTGGCGAGGTGTCAGAGTGGGCACCTGTGACCCGCAGGGTCCTACAGGGGTCAGTTCTAGGACCAGTGCTGTTTCTGGTATTTGTGAACGACATGACGGAAGGAATAGACTCTGAGGTGTCCCTGTTTGCAGATGACGTGAAGTTGATGAGAAGAATTCACTCGATCGAAGACCAGGCAGAACTACAAAGGGATCTGGACAGGCTGCAGACCTGGTCCAGCAATTGGCTCCTGGAGTTCAATCCCACCAAGTGCAAAGTCATGAAGATTGGGGAAGGGCAAAGAAGACCGCAGACGGAGTACAGTCTAGGGGGCCAGAGACTACAAACCTCACTCAAGGAAAAAGATCTTGGGGTGAGCATAACACCAGGCACATCTCCTGAAGCGCACATCAACCAAATAACTGCTGCAGCATATGGGCTCCTAGCAAACCTCAGAACAGCATTCCGACATCTTAATAAGAAATCGTTCAGGTCCCTGTACACCGTGTACGTTAGGCCCATATTGGAGTATGCGGCACCAGTTTGGAACCCACACCTAGCCAAGCACGTAAAGAAACTAGAGAAAGTGCAACAAGACTAGTCCCAGAGCTAAGAGGTATGTCCTACGAGGAGAGGTTAAGGGAAATCAACCTGACACTGGAGGACAGGAGAGATAGGGGGACATGATAACGACATACAAAATACTGAGAGGAATTGACAAGATGGACAAAGAAAGGATGTTCCAGAGATTGGACACAGTAACAAGGGGACACAGTTGGAAGCTGAGGACACAGATGAATCACAGGGATGTTAGGAAGTATTTCTTCAGCCACAGAGTAGTCAGTAAGTGGAATAGTTTGGGAAGCGATGTAGTGGAGGCAGGATCCATACATAGCTTTAAGCAGAGGTATGATAAAGCTCACGGCTCAGGGAGAGTGACCTAGTAGCGATCAGTGAAGAGGCGGGGCCAGGAGCTCGGACTCGACCCCCGCAACCTCAACTAGGTGAGTACATACATTTTATATATATATATATATATATATATATATGTCGTGCCGAATAGGCAGAACTTGCCATCTTGGCTTAAATAGCAACGCTCATCTTGCCATATAGGACAAGTGAAAATTTGTGTATGCAATAATTTCGCCAAAATCATTCTGAACCTAACGAAAAAAATATATTTCACTGTGTTTGTTTAGTATTAAATTATTGTAAACAAATCTAAAATATATTTAGTTGGGTTAGTCTAAAATAAATTGTGCTTGTTATAATAAGGTTAGGTAAGTTTTCTAAGTTCCTTTTGGTGCAAAATTAAAATTTTTTGCATCAACATTAATGAAAAAAATATATCTTTAAACGTATAAGAAAAAATTCTATAAAGGACTTAATTTTAAATGAGTTCTTGCTAATTGACCAGTTTTACATATTCGGCACGACATATATATATATATATATATATATTATATATATATAATATATAAAATATATATATATATATATATATATGTATATATATATATATATATATATATATATGTATATATATATATATATATATATATATATACATATATATATATATATATATTATATATATATATATATATGTATATGTATATATATATATATATATATATATATATATATATATATATATATATATATATATATATATATATATATATATATATATATATATATGTATATATAATATATATATGTGGGTTTGGGGGAGGAAGTGGCCTCTCACGACACGGTCATTGGATGGTGAACAGAAGAACACCTCGGTTAATAGTGTGAGCATGGTGATTTGTGTGCCAAATGGCGAGGGTTTTCTCTAAATGGAACAATAAGTGTATAACAATTAGCAAAAGCTAGTTAGTGATATGCATCTTGAGCGAACACACAGGGCCACTCCCTCCCCCCCCCATCCCAGATCCCCTCCCCTCATCCCAGCCTAGGACCACTGACTTCCTGACCAAGGGTGTTGCCGTTTAGTGCCCCACCAATTACAAGTTCCGCCGCTCGCTTCTCCCCCACCCTCATCCCCCATGCATCCATGCTGTCTTTCACCCAACACCCCGCAGCTGGCGCCCTCCCACCCCCACGATATCAGCAATGTCACAAGTAGTCGCGGGTTCCCAGGAATCTTCACGACAGAGCCAAAGCTGTCATTCACGAGGCATCTGCCAGGTGTGCCACAGGGAATGTGCACTCAGTCCCACAACTGGCAACATCCGTGCACACAATGGATGTCTAGGCTCCAGGAGAGCTCCAAATGAGAACAACCAACAGCCTCCCCCAGCAGACAGGGCTGACAGCTACCGTGACTTCATCTCTGCAGAGGACCTCAAATCTGCAATCAAATTAACATCCACCAGAACTCTGACACACATCCCCAAAGCAGCTCGCCCTCAAGCTGCTAACAAATTCACTGACCTTCTGAAGAAAGTCAACGATGTTCCTTCAAACAACAGATCCTGGCACAACTTGCTGCTTTTTGGCAATGCCTGTTTGGCTGTCCCACCAAGGAGGGACAAGTCACTAGCAACACATGTTATTAGGGCAATAAATGCATTCCCAAGGGATGACAACCTCGTCCGTCTCTCCCCTAGGGCGACAAACACCCGCCGGGCAAATGCCAACAACAGGACACCCGACGCCTCAAAAATCAGTGCCCAAATTAGCAAAAAAATAGAAGAGGGTAATACTATTGGAGCTCTGAGGCTTATAACCAGTGAGGATACCATCGCTCCCAAGGACGTCAGCACGGTGCAAGCTCTGAAGGACAAACATCCACCCAGGGCTCCCAGTACCAACATTGACCTCCCTGACATTGCAGCAGGCGAAGAACATCTAACCTTGTGTACGAATGGTATATAATACCGACAAGTTGAGAGTAAGACACATGTGCAACATCTGGGTATCTTTATTGTAGACGTTTCGCCATCCAGTGGCTTTATCAATACAAATTCCAGGACATAACTTGAAGACAGTAGAACTATGTACAGAAGATGAGGTAATCAGTCCCTCAACCTAGGAGTAGGTGCGAACAGCACCATAGTCGTGGAGATTCTGAAGCAGAAGAAAGAATCCTGGCGCTTATATAGTAACGTCAGGTGAAGCAGACGAGGGCAAATTCACTGGTGGGCGGGATTCCCCAGTGGAAGTAGGTCCTTCCCAAAGAGATGGGTTAGTTGTAGTAGTAGTAGTTGTCGTAGTTGTGAAGGTTATGTACATGTCCTCAGAATTAAGATTCCATGATGATATAAGCGCCAGGATTCTTTCTTCTGCTTCAGAATCTCCACGACTATGGTGCTGTTCGCACCTACTCCTAGGTTGAGGGACTGATTACCTCATCTTCTGTACATAGTTCTACTGTCTTCAAGTTATGTCCTGGAATTTGTATTGATAAAGCCACTGGATGGCGAAACGTCTACAATAAAGATACCCAGATGTTGCACATGTGTCTTACTCTCAACATCTAACCTTACAGGATGCTGATGTGTATAAAGCTGCTATGTCATTTCCACATGGCTCAGCAGGAGGTTTCACCGGTTTAAGGCCTCAACACTTAAAACAAATACTCAATCCAGCACTTGGTGAGGTTTCAGAGAGGCTGCTGTCTGAACTCACTAAATTTTCCAACCTGTGCCTGGCTGGCAGTGTCCCAGAGGCCATCAGACCCCTTTTCTTTGGTGCCTCATTGTGTGCCCTCCGGAAAAAGGATGGCATAGTCAGGCCCATTACAGTGGGTAACACCCTTCGGCACCTAGTCGCCAAGGCTGCAGTAAGAAGGGTGAGTCAAGAGGCTGCTGCAATGCTGAAACCAACTCAGCTCGGTTTCAGCGTTCAACAGGGCTGTGAAGCAGCTGCCCACGCAGCACGAGTATATATCAAAAACATGTCCGATGAAAAATCCTTGATCAAATTGGACTTTGCCAAGGCTTTCAACTCAGTCAGAAGGGATGCTGCTCTCCAAGCAGTTTATAGAAACTTCCCTTCCCTTTATCCCTTCATAGAATCGTGTTATAGTGTGACTTCCAAACTATTGACTCATGTGAGGGCGTGCAACAGGGAGACCCTCTCGCCCCCTTTCTATTCTGTTTTGTCATCAAGAAAGTCACGGAGGCACTCTCCAGCGAGCTCAATATCTGGTTCCTGGACGACGGTACCCTAGCTGGCACAACAGAATCTCTCCTAGAGGACATCAGTAAAATTAAAGACATGGGAGAAAGCCTAGGCCTTTCTTTAAACCCCACCAAATGTGAAATAGTTTCTACCAATCAACAGATGATCCAGAATATTAGCGCCGTTTTACCAGGAGCACGAGCCATTGATCCAGCCAATAGCACTCTCCTTGGTGCTCCTCTTGGGTCCAATGCCATCGATCTGATCCTAGGAAAAAAAGTCTCAGACCTCCGGACGATGGAAAGCAGGATGAAAGACATTGACATACACGATGCCTTCTACCTACTCACCAGGTGCCTGTCAATCCCAAAACTTACCTACTTTCTGAGATGCTCCCCAGCCTTCAGCAGTCCAAAACTCAAGGAATATGACTCTCTCCTTAAGATCATGCTAGAGAGTGTATTGAATCCTTCCCTTGAATATGGACAGTGGTTGCAAGCCTCACTTCCGGTCAGGCTTGGAGAGCTAGGAGTACGCAGATCCTCCCAGGTTGCTCAACCAGCTTTCCTATCCTCTTCCATAGCATCAAACGAGTTGATAAGACAAATTCTTCCTGATACCTTCAGTGACTCAGCAGGAATAGAAGACCCTAGCTATGCCAGTGCCATCACTGAATGGGAGACTCTTCCTGCTCCAGCACCAAACTCTAGTGCAGCACTGGCTCACAAACAGTCAAGCTGGGATGGCCCGATCTCTGAAAAGGTGCTTGCCAACATGCTCAGGGCTGCAACATCAGATAGGGAGATTGCCCATCTCCAGGCTCTGATCGCACCTCACTACGGGGACTCTGCGCCTTGCTGCCCCAGCTCACACAGAATATACGTGTATTTGCAGAGAAGCACAAACAGACCAATACTGTCTACATGGTCTTAACTGTTCCAAAACCAAGGGCTGGTATGCAAGACACAATGAGGTCAACGACATCATTAAGAGAACCCTTGCTACAGCTGGATGCCCAGCCGAGAGGGAGCCCCGATTACTAGCAGCCAACAATACCCATAAACCAGCAAAATGCCCCGATGGGCTCACCATCTATCCTTGGAAGAATGGCAAGCTCTTAGCATGGGACTATACCTGTGTGTCCACACTGGCTGACACCTACATCCATCACAGTGTGGGGAGACAGAGAGGAGCTGCTGACCACAGGGAGGAGTACAAGATCAGCAAGTACAGGGACATTAGCCAACAGTATCAATTTGTCCCAGTGGGATCAGAGACCTTGGGATCATGGGGAAAATATGCCACACGTTTCCTTAAAGATTTATGTACCAGACTCATCGACACCACCAGGGACCCAAGGGCAGCCACTTTCATGTTCCAGCGCCTCAGCGTAGCCATCCAGAGGGGAAATGCTTGCTGCATACTTGGCTCACGTCCAGCCTCGGAGGAGCTGGAGGAAATTCATGATCTTTGATACATTGTGCCATTGTATTCATGTTTATGTTTTTTTCTGTAAATGTATTTTGTTTATTAATAAATGTTCACATAGAATATAATATATAGGGGGTGGTAGGATAAGAAAATATTCAAACAGCTCCAGGGAGAACCTTGAGTTTTCCCTGAGGTACGTTTATTGTCTTCTCTGAGGATGAGGGTCCCCAGTCCAGCCATAGAGGTGGTACTTCCCTATATATTTTTTTGAAATATATATATGTACATATACATATATATATATATATATATTATATATATATATATATATAATATATATATATATATATATATATATATATATGTGTGTGTGTGTGTGTGTGTGTGTGTGTGTGTGTGTGTGTGTGTATGTATGTATATATATATAACAACACTGCGACAAACCAAGGAGTCGAACCCATGGTGCTTTGGCCTGCTTTATGGTTGGCGAAAACTCATGAGGCCTTAATCTACGGGAGCACACGATCCTTGAGAGTAGGGCATCCAGCCAAGCTTGATGTTTCACCCGCTACCCAAGAACATACGGTGGTGTGGATGCCTCTAGGTTAATATTCATTCTACTTCCTGTTTGGTGTACTAGCACAACGAACAGTATACATTATTGTACCCACGAACAAGTGGCATATATATATATATATATATATATATATATATATATATATATATATATATATATATATATATATATATATATATATATATATAAACACACAAATGTAAACTGGTATGTCTCTCAGTACTATAAAATATCTATATTTTCTTTAATTTGTAGCTAAAATGTTTATGGATATAGATCTTTCTATATTACATTTCATTCGGTTTAAAGTGTAGGCGATTGTATCGTATATTTAATATAGGAAATAGCAGTGGTCTAGGTGTTTAAGCATATTACGTTGTGGCTCTCGTACATGTCTTTTAGGCTGACTTTGAGAAATGCCTCATGAGTTATTCACAGGAAAGGTGGGGATATCTTGAGATAATTTTAGCATATAATAAGTGTAAAAACTCAGAATATTGATGATCAAATTATTATATTCCTGGGGAACTTATGAAGATCACACAGTATCTGGGGATTGAGAGGTATTCAGATCTGATACACAGAAAATGGAGGTAGCTCCTGAGTCTTCAGTCTAGAGCAGGAGTTCCCAACCTTTTCTATGCCCTGCACCTCTAGGAAATGTTTGGTTAATAATACAACTATACAAAAGTAATATCACATTTGAAGATGAAGTGAAATATAAATTGAACAATTAGGAAAGTTTTGGGAGGATAAATAGAATTGTGATTTTCATTAGGGCTCTTTGTCTCACCCCCTGAAGTGCCATCTAGCTCCCCTGGAGGTGCGTGCACCCTGGAGGTGCGTGCACCCTGGAGGTGCGTGCACCCTGGAGGTGCGTGCACCCTGGAGGTGCGTGCACCCCAAGTTGGGAACCATTGCTCTAGAACCTTTAACTAGCACCTTGAGTCAAGAAAAGAGTTGGCGATATATTTCCTTTAAAAAACAATGGGAATTCTAGGCTTTTATGAGCAAGAAAGAAGAAGAATTTAAACTTAGAATAAGATCTTATTTTCGTATATCAATATATATCACTGAGTATTGTAGTTAAAAAATAAGGAAAACGAATACGACTTCGTGTCTGCACACGAACTGTTTCGTGGACTATATAGAATATTGGATGTGACCTGAGGATCTGAGCATCATCCACGTTAAGAAAGACAGTGTTCATCATAGTGAAGGTCCAGTAGGAGGAGATGAGGGTGTGAAGCTGCGTCAGGGAGAGACGAGTGAGCACCAACAGTTTAGTGTCCCACACCAGAAGACGCTTCTTGAGAGAGATCTCAGCAAAGGTGGCCAGGAAGACTGGGTCTTGACTCACTACCACCATCCTCACACACCACGACAACACCCGCACCTGCCAGTACACTAACTCATTAATATTATCATTTTAAGGCAGAAGAATCAGTTAATGTCCAGAAAAAGAGAGAAAATAAGCTTGAAGCTACATATTATAAATATTGATAGGTCCTGCTTTACAGCGCTTGACTCACTACCACCATCCTCACACACCACGACAAAACCCGCACCTGCCAGTACACACCACGACAACACCCGCACCTGCCAGTACACTAGCTCATTAATATTATCATTTTAAGGCAGAAGAATCAATTAATGTCCAGAAAAAGAGAGAAAATAAGCTTGAAGCTACATATTATAAATATTGATAGGTCCTGCTTTAAAGCGCTTGACTCACTACCACCATCCTCACACACCACGACAACACCCGCACGTTGGGTGTTGTCGTGTCCAGTCAATATTATTATATTCACTGGGAAGTACTAAACCAGTAGGTGTCTAACAGCACTCAGAAAATAGAAAACCGAGTTCATTCGAGCAAGTCAAAGAGTGGACAGATTTCTTTGACCAAAAGTTTCTCATAAGCATCTAGGGACTGAAGAATAATTTGGCAAAGTTGAACTATTTACTTATAGTTGAGAACTACATCATCTCAGACTATGGAGCTGAATTCTTCTCCAGGCTGAGGGACTGACCACCTCAAACTATTTCCCTAACGTTGGCGGACTGATTACATCTTTACCTCGCCACTAATGCTGCCGACAGAACATTCTCATCTATATTTGATGAATGAAAAATGGTATGATATGGCGAAACGTTTCGACAATAAAGATTCCCAACGTATTGTCGGTAGGTTAAGCCGGGTCACCATATGGAGAAGACCCTGGCCGGAAGTACCGGCAAACCTCTAATGAATGAATGAATGGTAGGTATTGCTGGTAGAATGCCCACGGTGACCCGTGGCCTGGTGGAAAAACTTATCGCTTAAAACGGTGAGGGTTCGGGTTCGATTCCCTGCTAAGAGGTGGAAACATTTGGGGTGTTTCCTTACACCGGTTGTCTGTTCCCCATCAGTAAAATGGGTACCTGAGTGTTAGTCGACTGGTGTGGGTCGCATCCTGGGATAAAATTTACCTAATTTACCTGAAATGCTGTACATAACAAGCGGCATTCTATATAGTAGTATGTCACTGATGTCAGCTATGATTTGTATACCTTGTACATGTACTTGTATACCTCGTACATGTACTTGTATACCTCGTACATGTACTTGTATACCTCGTACATGTACTTGTATACCTTGTACATGTACTTGTATACCTTGTACATGTACTTGTATACCTTGTACATGTACTTGTATACCTCGTACATGTACTTGTATACCTCGTACATGTACTTGTATACCTTGTACATGTACTTGTATACCTTGTACATGTACTTGTATACCTTGTACATGTACTTGTATACCTTGTACATGTACTTGTATACCTTGTACATGTACTTGTATACCTTGTACATGTACTTGTATACCTTGTACATGTACTTGTATACCTCGTACATGTACTTGTATACCTTGTACATGTACTTGTATACCTCGTACATGTACTTGTATACCTCGTACATGTACTTGTATACCTCGTACATGTACTTGTATACCTTGTACATGTACTTGTATACCTTGTACATGTACTTGTATACCTTGTACATGTACTTGTATACCTCGTACATGTACTTGTATACCTCGTACATGTACTTGTATACCTTGTACATGTACTTGTATACCTTGTACATGTACTTGTATACCTTGTACATGTACTTGTATACCTTGTACATGTACTTGTATACCTTGTACATGTACTTGTATACCTCGTACATGTACTTGTATACCTCGTACATGTACTTGTATACCTCGTACATGTACTTGTATACCTTGTACATGTACTTGTATACCTTGTACATGTACTTGTATACCTTGTACATGTACTTGTATACCTTGTACATGTACTTGTATACCTTGTACATGTACTTGTATACCTCGTACATGTACTTGTATACCTTGTACATGTACTTGTATACCTTGTACATGTACTTGTATACCTTGTACATGTACTTGTATACCTTGTACATGTACTTGTATACCTCGTACATGTACTTGTATACCTCGTACATGTACTTGTATACCTTGTACATGTACTTGTATACCTTGTACATGTACTGGTATACCTTGTACATGTTCTTGTAGAAATAATTATATTATTATTTTATCTACTTTAATTACGATACGATTTACCATTTTTATCCAGCAGCAGCAACACACAGCAAAAGGCATTCTTGAGCTTCCCCAGAGCTCGGGCTTAATGCCAAAGCTGGGGTGTGGCTCCAAAAGGATCTTGTAGTGCTTGTTGTCTTTGCACCTCCTGACATCGTCTGCTGCTATGTAGCTGCCACACCCTTCAAGCCCAGTGTGGGCGGGGTTTGTGACAGCCCAAGGTGCCTAGCTTCTCCCTCCGAGCCCAGTGGGGGTGGAAAATGGGGCTAGGCTTGTGGACAGCTAGTCCCAGAAGATGAGGAGGTACTTGTACCTCCTCCCATGGCGGACATGGTACAATCACCTAGGCCAGGCGATTGTACCGGCGAGTTTACGGAGAAGCTAAAGTTAACCTATTCAGAACAGCATCAGTCCTTAATGAGGTGCGTAAGTTCCTCTGTCTCCTAATATCACGTTTATTTTTTCCTATGATCTACCTTGTCCATAATTATTATCGCATTTGCTTTATCGGCTTTCGTAAGGTGATGTCCAGGATCTTTCCTTAATTCGTGGTATAACTTAACAAATCCTTGAGGACAATTGTGTTGGAGAGGTCTGAGCAAAGCTCAGGAATTGTCCTCAAGGATTTGTTAAGTTATACCATGAATTAAGGAAAGATCCTGGACATCACCTTACGAAAGAGACAAAGTAAATGCGATAATAATTATGGACAAGGTACATCATAGGAAAAAATAAACGTGATATTAGGAGACAGAGGAACTTATGCACCTCATTAAGGACTGATGCTGTTCTGAATAGGCGAACTTTAGGTTCTCTGTAGATGAATGGTTCACAGAACCGACAAGTTGATCAATTAGACACATGTGCAACACTTGGGTATCTTTAATAAGGAAACGTTTCGCCACACAGTGAGTTCATCAGTCTGACACGGCAACTTCTTGGGATCTTAATACTTGGGAATTCTTCACTTGCCTAACCCTTGGGCACGACCTTGGGCACGACCTTGGGCACGACCTTGGGCACGACCTACTTCCACATTGAACAATGTGACACCACCTACGACTGCTGTACCTCTCCTGCCTGCAGTATATAAGCTACTTCTTCGCACATATGTTGTATTCTTTTCAAGACTGATGGACTGACCACATCGACTCAAGGTTGAGGGACTGATTACCTCAAACTCCTCCTGTTCTTCACCATTCTCCTTTGTATGGACTGATGAAGCCACTGTGTGGCGAAACGTTTATTCATTAAAGATACCCAAGTGTTATATATGTGTCTAATTTATCATTCTGAGGTCAGGAAAATTTCAAATTTCCACTGACGTCTATAGATTAAACTTATGTTTCATAATCGTTATTAAAAAAACTCCATTAATAGTTTGAAGCCTATCAGAAGAGGCATTACTGAATTTCAATATCACTATTTAATAAAATTAGCAGATAGAGACAAATGCAGCTCATTAACAATTGAAACCACAAAGTTTGATGCCGATCAAAAGAGGCGTTGTCACTTTATCTTAGATTCCATAAATTCCGGAGTTTCTTTCTTTAATTTTATTTGTAAAGTAACAATTCTGCTCTTAAAATAAATTACGGAGATACATCCTGTTTGTAAGATATATTAGAATGAATTACCTTTGGAACGTTTGGCAATTTTTATTGTGGGAACGTGACGCCAGCCAGTGAGTTTATCAGTACAATACAAAGATATAATGTGAAGAATTAATACAAAAGGTGAGGTAATCAGTCCCTCAGTCTTGGAGGTGGTGTTGAGAATATCCACCACTACGGTGCTCAGAGCACTGTAGTGGTGGAGAATATCCACCACCACGGTGCTCAGAGCACCGTAGTAGTAGAGAATATCCACCACCACGGTGCTCAGAGCACTGTAGTAGTAGAGAATATTCACCACTACGGTGCTCAGAGCACCGTAGTAGTAGAGAATGTCCACCACTACGGTGCTCAGAGCACCGTAGTAGTAGAGAATATTCACCACCACGGTGTTGTAAACACCACCTCCAAGGTTGAGGGACTGATTACCTCATCTTTTGTATATAGATTTTCTGTTTTCTAACTATGTCCAAGAATTTGTATTGATAAAGCCACTGGAGGGCGAAACGTCTACAATAAAGATACCCAGATGTTGCACATGAGTCTTAACTTTCAAGGTTATGTTATGTTAGGTTACGTTAGGTTAGGTTACGTAAGGTTAGGTTACGTTAGGTTAGGTTACGTAAGGTTAGGTTACGTTAGGTTAGGTTACGTAAGGTTAGGTTAGGTTAGGTTACGTTACGTTACGTTACGTTACGTTACGTTAGGTTAGGTTAGGTTAGGTTAGGTTACGTTACGTTACGTTACGTTACGTTACGTTACGTTAGGTTAGGTTAGGTTAGGTTAGGTTACGTTACGTTACGTTACGTTACGTTACGTTACGTTAGGTTAGGTTAGGTTAGGTTAGGTTAGGTTACATTAGGTTAGGTTTATCACGAAACAAGAGAAGTGTTGTCTGACGCGGGTGATCGTCACATGATGACCCGCAGTTGGAGCTTTTGGTCATCTGACTGAAGCCTACCGCTGTCTTACTGAGAACAGATACTATACTATGATCTTAGCCAAAAGGCGGAGAAGCGATGTTATTTCGATTTCGTGAGCCTTGAACACAGTAGCTGGGGACCTTCCTGCCGTCACGAATCAGCTAAATAAATCCAACTCGCTACACAGACTGATCAAGCTGATCCTTGACAGCATGAGTGTCAGATGTGAATCAAGCTTCGGGCTCTCAAGCTG